GAAATGGCATCACCACCCCTGGAAGGGCTCAAAACCCCTGTGGCTGTGGCACTGGGGACCTGGGTTCCTGCTGGCCACGCTGGTGCTGCTGGGGTGATGGATTTGCTGAGTTTAAAGCTTTTTTTTTTTAAAAAAGCTTTTTTTCCATCATTAACAATTCTGTTTCTCTCTGTGACTTCCAGCTCAGCTGCACTCTGTGATTCTCTCAAGTCCCCTAACACCCTGAAGCAGTAAATTGGCAGTTTAGTTCTGTGCCATATGAAAATGCACTTCCACTTTCTTGCAGCCTGCTCTGCTCACCCTTCACTCCCTCCCTCCACCCCAGGCTCTGCTCTCTCCAGTGGGTGAGGCCCTCCTGATGCAGTGTCTGCTTTTGTGGGAGTTAAATCCTTCAGGATTTAGGAGCAGTGGGAGCTGGGTGCTGTTTACAAGATGAAGGCCCACCATGGATTTATGGAGTGGCAAAATCCCCTTCGCAGCTTTATTCTCTGTCCCTCTCCTCTTGCATTGCCGAGCACTGAACTGTTATTTGCAGGAAATAACTGTGAGGACTCTGAGCTCCCTTCCCTGAGTGATAATAGTTAATTCTGAAGCCATCAGTGTGTGCATCTGTAGCTGGGGTTGTTTTCCTGAGTGCACTCCTTTGCATCTATCACCAGTGAATTCCTGCTGCAGTGTCATTGCCAGTCACTTAGAATGATGGCATCCTCCTGCAGCTCTTCACTACCAGCCTTTATTTGCAAGACTTGAAATGGCTTTGTCTTATGAGTTATTTTGTCAGCTCACCAATCATTTGCTCTTCCAGATGCTTTTATGATACGGTGAAGAGTTAAAACTCCATCAGTAGCCTCCTTACCCCTGTTGGCTGTGTTTTAGCTGGTTGGTAGCCTGTGAGAAATTCCCTTTTACCTCAGCAATGCTTGTTTGGGGAGGATAAAGAGCTGGTATTGATCAAAATCCGTGCCTGGGGATACAGGGACCCCACAGAGACAATTCCAGCTCTGTGCAGGGCCTGGGGAAATCCCCTCTCCAGCCCCCAAAAAGGATTTAATGGGGATGAGCTGCTGTGTTTAACCCCAGGTGGAAACTGAGCCCCACCTGCTGCTCCCTCACTGCCCAGGGGTGGGAGGGGGCAGAATGTGGGGTTAAAAGGGACATTGAGATCCAGACAGTGCAACAGGGAAAGCCAAAGCTGCCCCGGCACGGGAGCCAGGGAAGGAATGCATTCCCCATTTCCCGGGCAGGCAGGGGCTCTGTCACACCCTGTGCTGACTGGGGAAGGCAAACACCCTCCCCACCAACATTCCTGCCCTCTCCTGCTCCTGCTGAGCAGGATTCCACGGGCTGGGACCTCCCTGGGGACAGCTGGGACAGCTCCTTGTCCCCCAGGCTGCTCCTTGGCCATGTCCCCTTGCCCAGCAGGGACTGAGTGACCCCTCCAGTGTCCAGCACTGCTCAAACCCAGCCTGGGGACAAGGACAGCACCTCCACCCCACCCCACCCACCCACCAGCCCAGACTGTGATCTCCTCACATATCTGAGCTCTCTAAAATGGGCTGGAGCTTTGAGATTGCTGTTCTTTCCTAGCTGATGCTGCTGGGGAGGGACTCCTGCCCTGCTGGAGCCCCTGCCAGGCTGGCTCATGTCAACACTGCTGCCTCCTGAGCTGTGCTGCACACCCTGCACATGTGGGGTCCCTTTGGGGTGAGCCCATCTGCTCCCAGAGACCTCTTCCTATTTATTACCTCATGGACTCCTCTGAACAGCTCCTCATCTGCTGCTTCAGCTTGAGAGTCCTTGCAACAAGTAAGAGATGAAGCATCTGTTATATGGGGAGAGGCTGGGGTTATTTAACCTCCAAAAGCCAGGGTTTGGCTCAGAGACAGCTGGGATTTGGATAAATTTGGTTTATTTGTGTGTTTAAATCCCTCCTGGTAGAAGAGGGAGTCAAAATCCTCATAGTGGAGCTGAGGGAAAGAGCAAGAAGCTAAGGGTTAAAATTGAGATACAATTTTCCCTTAAACATTCATTTCATTTCACTATCTTATACTATTTTTTGATTTAAGTTTTTTTACTGTGAGTGTGCTTGAACACTGGCACACACTGCCCAGGCAGGTTGTGGAGACTTCAGCCTCGCAAAAATCCAAAAACCCAACTGGACCCAGTTAAAAACCTGCTCTGGGTGACCCTGCTGGGAGCAGGAGGGGGGCATGGGGGATCTCCAGGGGCATCTCCAGCCTCGGGGCTCCAGTGATTCCACCAGGCTGGAACAGTGAGAGCCTCCCCAGGGAATATTCCTGCAAATTTGGGCTGCTTTGGGCTGGCCTGGCCTTCCATGGGCGCTCCCTACAGACCTTGATCATGTTATAGTTTTATAGACTCTCTGGTAGGTTCCTGGTTTCTTGAAAAAGGCTTTATTATTAGCTTTCATGGTTTTCAAAAAAATTGCTTCTTGTAAGTACTTTTTGACTTTACCATGGCTGGGTTTTGTGCTCTTTTCTGTTTTTTCTCATTTGGACACAACTTCCACTTTCTGAGGAATGTAATTTTACTCCTAATAATCTCCATTACTCTGCTATTTAACCATGAGAGCTCTTTCTGGCCCCATTTTTAGGTGATATATATTTATTCTCAGCCTCTAATATGGTTCCTTTATGTAATTTCTTTCCCACCTCCAAGCAGTTTATCTTTCTGGCGGCTGCTTTTAATTTAGGTTTAGCAAGTTCCTTGTCCTTTCTTGGGCTGGGATAAATCACCATCCCAAGTGCCTGTGAACACAGCCAGTTTGGATTGCACACCTGCCTTCAACACAAGGCTACTTTAGCCCACAAATCCCATTCCTAATATAACAAAAAAAGCTGTTTTCTTGCCTGGAAACCATAATGCTGTATAGGACTCCAGGGAAAAAACTGAGGCTTAACTTCATCCATTTCACCATCTCCCCACGATTCTGCTTAATCTTCTGAGGGATGTGTCCAATTAGTTGCATGAATAAATAAATCCTTTTGTGTTAAAGGACTTTGTGAAATCACCTGCTTGACTTGTTCGCCCAGGAACTGCTATGGAAGGTCCTCACTGTCATTCTGATCAAAATGATCAAATGTTTTCATCTGAGCTCGGTGGGGCTGGGGGAGGAATAACAACTTTGCTAACCCAGGAATCACAAATTTGCTCCCTAGGAACAACAATTTACTCCCCAGGAATAACAACTTTACACCCAGGAGTAACAACTCTGCTCCCCAGGAATAACAACTTTACACCCAGGAGTAACAACTCTGCTCCCCAGGAATGACAGCTCTGCTCCCCAGGAATAACACCTTTACACCCCAGGAATAACATTTTTTCTCCCCAGGAATAAGCTCAGCTGGTATTGCTGAAACGAGGAGAATTCCAGCACCAAGAGCCCAACCAGCCCAGCTGTGACTTGCTGATTTCTACTGATTATTTTGAATTTTCAAATGTTCTTGCTGCACCTGGCTCTTTGGAGCTGGGAGCTGCACACAAGCACCCCTGTCACTGGATTTTTAGTTGGTTAGAGTGATTTTGAGATACATTAGAAAGTTTCTTTTTTCAGCTTGGTGCTCGAAGAAGGAGTTGAGCTTTTCAGTTTTTGGTTTTAAGGTTGTTTATTGTATCTTATCTATAATTTATTTTTCTTGTTTAGCCGAGGTCTGCTCAGCAAGACAGTCTGAGGCACTTTGCTCACTTCTGGGGTAGAGTTATTTTTTTATATTAAAAACCACCTGTACAATATTTACAATTACTTTCTAATACTTATCACTTACATTAGATAGTGAGCTTCTAGTCTAAACTATTTTAAAAGTGCTAACATTACAGCAGAAGATGGAGGCTAAGAAGAAGGAGAAAGGTTGGACACGCTTAGATTCTTCTATTTTGTTCTTTGAACTTCTATTATAAAAACTTTAAAAATTTATTTTTCACGCTTAGATTCTTCTATTTTGTTCTTTGAACTTCTATTCTAAAAACCTTAAAAATTTATTTTTCACTTCATGGTAAATTCACTATTATTTTACTTAAACTGTTGTGGCTTGCAGATCTTCATATAAGGTTGGTAACTTGCTCTGTGGGTCATAATCAGAACCACAGGCATCTTGGGCTTTGTGCCAGGGTCTTTGAGCTTTCTGGCAGGGGTTTTGGCCACCTAGGGCAGCCAGAGGGATGTCTTGAATTCTGACACCCCTGGGCCAAATCCCAGATTCCAGAGGTGTCTTGGTTTGGAAAGCCAGGTGTCTGCTAAGGAAGGCAGGAGCCTCCCCTGAAATGGAGAATGTGAACCCTCCCCACCCCTCCCAATTGCTATAAATTTTAAATTAAGGGGCTCTCAGGCAAAAATATGGGAGCAGGAAATAACAGTTCTTTAATAGGGAAGAAAAAAAATAAAAGGATAAAGTAAACAATGCAGTACACTAGAACAACACTGCCAGAGTCAGAACCCAGCCTGACACCCTGTGGGTCAGGGTGCTGGCAGCAGAACCATTGGAATTGTGGCTCAGCCCTCCTGCAGTGTCAGGGGTGGCTCTGCTGGAGCAGGGATCCTGTAGAGAAGGATGAATTCTTCCTCTGAAGATCCAGTGGAAGGAGAGGCAGCTGCTGTTCCTCTGGGAAATCCAGTGGAGAAGCTGTGGTGTTGTCTCAAAAACCTCTGGATTATATCCGGGTAGGAATGCTTGGCTCCTCCCTCTGGGCTCACATCTCCCAATGGGATGCTGCAGTTCTTATCAGCCATGCAGGGACATTCCATAGCTGTTATCAGCAGGTGTCCCCCCAGAGAGAGGTGTGAATGTGGTCACTCAGAGAGAGAGATAAGGCAAACTGCCCACTTGACAAAGATAATCTGCCATACAGATGGAAATTGAAAATACCTTGCATTGCAATTTCCAACAAGAGGGCATCCATCAGTGGGCTGGATTTGGTGCCTGCCCAGCCCATGGGGGTGTGGTGGGGGCACTGAGCAAGCCTTGTCCCTTTGTCCCTGCCAGAACATCCACTTGGTGGCCAAGTGGCTGAGCTCCCTGGAGAAGAGGCTGGAGCAGCTCAGCCAGGGCAGCCACCGGGATTTCCGCGTGTTCCTGAGCGCCGAGCCGGCGCCGTGCCCGGAGAGCCACATCATCCCCCAGGGCATCCTGCAGAACTCCATCAAAATCACCAGCGAGGCTCCCACCGGCATCCACGCCAACCTGCACAAGGCCCTGGACAACTTCAGCCAGGTGGGAGCGTGACCGTGTCCACAGGGGGTTGAGGATGAGGGAAGAAATGAGGATCTGACTCTGTGTTTCAGAAGGCTGATTTATTATTTTACGATGTATATGATATTAAAACTATACTAAAAGAATAGAAGAAAGGAAGGATTTCATCAGAAGGCTGGCTAAGAATAGAAAAAAAGGCATGAAAAACAAAGGCTTGTGTCTCAGACAGAGAGTCCGAGCCAGCTGGGCTGTGATTGGCCATAATTAGAAACAACCACATGAGCCCAATCCCAGATGCACCTGTTGCATTCCACAGCAGCAGATAACCATTGGTTACATTTTGTTCCTGAGGCCTCTCAGCTTCTCAGGAGAAAAACCCCTAAAGAAAGGTTTTTCCATGAAAGATGTCTGTGACATGGGAGCGTGGTTGGGTGGGCTGGAGCTGATGGGACACCATGGGACAGGGGCAGGCCAGGATCCCATCCCTGCAGGACTCCCTGGGAACAGCCCAGGGCTCCAGGGCAGGATGGAGCCTGGGGGGCTCAGCTGTGACCCCATTTCCCTCAAGGGTTGAGGGCTGAGCACTCATCTTGCTGCTGATTCCTGTCCTAGGGACACTGAGTCCCATGTCCTGCCACCCTGACACTCCCTCTCTCCCAGCCCTCACAGCAGGACCCCATCAGAAGGCTCTGAAGGTGACCTGAATGAGAATGAGCTGGGTTGTTCTGGGGATGTTTCCTGAAATGAGAAAGGTGTTCTGCACGTATTTGAAGCAGTTCTTCATCACAATGCTGATGAAGGGAGCTTAGAGTGCTGCCCAATCCAGGGGAAAACAGATTTTGGGATGTTCTTGATTGTCACGTGCACTTGGTCAATGTCTTGCACCCTCTAGAGTAATGGATTCCCCCTTTCCTGCACAGACCCTGAGCTCTGTCCTGCTCTCAGAGGATTAGAGGTCTAACGTGGCATTTTTTAAAGATAAACATTGGACAGGGCTAGAATCTTTAACAAGAATCTTTCTTGTTATTTAAGATGAAGCAAGAGCAGCCCCAAACAATTGTGGGCCCTGGGTCCTGGGGCAGCTCACAGCTGGTTTTGCACTCAAATGTTGGTGTGGAGAGAATCCCAAGAGCAGGAGGGAACATTGCTGAGCAGGTGTGGGGGAGGCACCATGCAAGGATTAATGCCAGTGGTCAGGGAAGATTATTCCAAACTTATCTATTGCCATTCATCATCCTGAGCTCCACAAAATGTCCTGGAGAAGAAAGGAGGGGAGAACCTTCACCCCAAGTAACATTTTCATCCTGCCTCTGCTCATTTCAATCAATAGTAATTAGCATTTTCTAAATTGCCGGAGGATTATGAAACATCTCTTATCAGAAATCCTGAAGCGAGTGGGTGGGGTCCCTTTTACACCTCATTTCCCTGCTTTATACAGAAGAGGTGTTCAAATTCAGCTTTCAGCTGAAGGCTACAAAGAAGGCCCTTTATTCTGTGCAGAGGAAATTGTTCTGCTTTGTAGCTGAAGAAGAATTGACAACTGAAGAGAGGCCGAATGAGAATGGACTGGGTTGTTCTGGGGATGTTTCCTGAAATGAGAAAGGTGTTCTGCACCTATTTGAAGCAGTTCTTCATCACAATGCTGATGAAGGGAGCTTAGAGTGCTGCCCAATCCAGGGGAAAACAGATTTTGGAATGTTCTTGATTGTCACGTGCACTTGGTCAATGCCTTGCATCCTCTAGAGTAATGGATTCTCCCTTTCCTGCACAGACCCTGAGCTCTGTCCTGCTCTCAGAGGATTAAAAGCCTAACATGGCATTTTTTAAAGATAAACATTGGATGGGGCTTGGAGCAACCTGGGGTAGTGGAAAGTGTCCCTGCCCATGGCAGAGGGGCTGGAAAAACATGGACTTTAGAGTCCCTTCCAGCAGAGAATTCTGTGATTCTGTGGCTCCCTCCCCATCTTCCTGGTGAGGGATGTTGAGCACATGCAGGTGACGGGGGCGTTGAGTGGGTGCACGTGTCCCTCCTTCCCTGTGTGTGTTCCTGTGCGAAGCCACTCGGAGCTGGCAACAGCAAATATTAAGTCAGAAAATATTTGCTAGAGTTTGCCAATAAATCTGCAATGCAAAGCCACTGACTTTGAAATACGTGTGTGTGTGATACAAAAATGAACTGCGGGACAATTTGGTCAGCCTCTTGTCCCAGGCAACAAGCGTCAGCAGGGGAGGTTCAGGTTGGATGTTAGAGAAAATTTCTAAAGCAGAAGGTTGGTAAAGCTCTGGAAGAGGATGCCCAGGGAAGTGGTGGAGGCACATCCCTGTAATTGTTAAAAAATATGGTTCACAATTAGTTGTGCAAGGGGGCATTTGGTCAAAGGTTGAACTTGATGGTTTGGGGGCGTTTCTGAGCCTTGGTCTCTGATTCTGTGATTCACCCTGTCCAAAGCCCGGTGTGTTTGGGTTCCCTGGGAGTCACTGAGGCTGAGGGCAGCCATCCTATGTTGCAGGACACCCTGGAGATGTGCAGCCAGGAGAAGGAGTTCAGGAGCATCCTCTTTGCCCTGTGCTATTTCCACGCGGTGGTGGCGGAGCGGCGCAAGTTCGGCCCCCAGGGCTGGAACCGCCCGTACCCCTTCAGCACTGGGGACCTCACCATCTCTGTCAACGTGCTCTACAACTACCTGCAGGCCAGCTCCAAGGTGGGGGCACCACGGGGGGGCTCTCTGGGGGCTTTGAAGCTGTCCTGAAATGCCATTTCCTTGGTGTCTTTGCGTTTAGAACTTCACATTTTGGGGCGCTTCTGGAGGAGATGGGAGACCTCAGTGCCACTCGCACTGTGCTGTGCCCCAGCTTTCCTGGGGCAGGATTTAACTCCTGCCTGCTGTTTGTTTGCTGAGGGGGGAGCCCTGAGGGTGCAGGGCAGTGCCTGGGTTCAGCCCAGCCTGCTCCACACCCAGGTCCCCTACGATGACCTGCGCTACCTGGTGGGTGAGATCATGTACGGAGGGCACATCACGGACGACTGGGACAGGCGGCTCTGCAGAACCTACCTGGAAGAATTTATCAAGCCAGAAATGCTGGAGGGAGAGCTCTGCCTTGCTCCTGGATTTCCTCTCCCAGGGAACATGGATTATAATGGCTATCACCAGGTAAGCCCTTTGTTTGCTGGCATTATTTATACATGTAAATGGAATGTCTTCCCTAACTGCCCCATAATCTGCTTTAGGAGGCAGGAACGGGGCTGCAGTGCTCCTGCACTGTTCCTCTTATTTCCCATTATGTTTTGTTCCTGTGGATGTTTCAGCATTCCCCTGGATCAGCCAAGTCTAATGGTAATTTGCTACTTCATCATGGGCTCATTCTGTTCATGCATGAATGCACCAACTGTATTGGTGCTCGAGACTTAAGTGGGGCTCCTGGAAAATTACATCCACATACTGTTTGCTAAAATGGCCCTTTCAAGCTCTTTTTATCATCAGTTTTGATGAGAATCACTGAAGGGTCTTGTTGATCTACTTACTGATCTCATCTGCTCTTTGTACACAAATGCAGAGGCACATCAGGCTGGTTTTGTTCATAAAACTTAACTACTGGAAGCTCTATTCCCACAAGAGATTTCAGGATGCTGATGCTGAAATTCACAGCAGATAATTGCTAGAGAAGGTCCAGCCCGAGACACGGAGCCAAGCTGAACTCCAGCAATTACAGAATTTTCCCAGCAGGAGCAGAAGCAGCTCTGTAAACATTTGCACTCTCCTTCCTCCATCGCTTCCCTGATGTTTCAGCCACAGGCAGAGCTGGCTCAGCCCGGGCTGACCTCTCGGGGGGATGACTCCAGCACTGAAGCTCTGCAGGCAAAGTGCCCTGAGCTGTTCCTAACGTGCTCCTGGATGTCTCTGTGCAGTACATAGACGATGCCCTGCCTCCAGAATCCCCCTACCTGTACGGCCTCCACCCCAACGCCGAGATCGGGTTCCTGACGCAGCGCTCGGAGCGGCTCCTGCGCACCGTGCTGGAGCTGCAGCCCCGGGACAGCAGCACGGGCCAGGGCCCTGGGAGCACCCAGGAGGAGATGGTGAGAGTGCAGGGAGTGATTGGGCACCCAGGAGGAGATGGTGAGAGTGCAGGGAGTGATTGGGCACCCAGGAGGAGATGGGGAGAGTGCTCATGGGCTGTGGGCACCCAGGAGGAGATGGTGAGAGTGCTCAGGGGCTGTGGGCACCCAGGAGGAGATGGTGAGAGTGCAGGGAGTGATTGGGCACCCAGGAGGAGATGGTGAGAGTGCTCAGGGGCTGTGGGCACCCAGGAGGAGATGGGGAGAGTGCAGACAGTGATTGGGCACCCAGGAGGAGATGATGAGAGTGCTCATGGGCTGTGGGCACCCAGGAGGAGATGGGGAGAGTGCAGGGAGTGATTGGGCACCCAGGAGGAGATGGGGAGAGTGCTCAGGGGCTGTGGGCACCCAGGAGGAGATGGGGAGAGTGCTCAGGGGCAGCTGCTGGGGCTTGATACCTGTCTCATCCATCAGGCTTGTCCATGGTTCTGTGTTCTGCCTCTGCCTGCCTGAAGCCTGGTTTTATGCAGAACATCACCCTGGTGGGATGTAATTGAGTGCTGGCAGTAACAGGACAGTGCCTCTTAATTACCCCGTGCACTGCAGAGCCTTCGTTATCATCCTCTGAAGGTGCTGCAAATAAACCTTCCCTGAGCAGCAGTCCCTGTGCAGCCCCTGTGACTGGCATAGCAATGGGCCCCTGGCACACTGCCTGCCACCCTCAGCGTGCCACCCAGAGCTCAGCCCTCCTCCTGCTGCCACCACCGTGTCCCCCCAGCTCCCCTGGGCCTTGTAATTCCTTCTTTCCAGCTGAACTCCTTTGCTGCACCTGTGTCCTGGGCTGATCTCAGCCCTCCCTGTGGAAACTCACAGCTCATTAAAACACGGCCCAAACACCCCTGACAAGATCTGGAATCAGCCAACACATGCTCAGGTTTTCACTCCTGCAGCCTTAAGGTGCCAGCTCTGTGCTTGAAGATTTGCAATTTAATGAATGGCTAATTGCAGCTCATAGAAAACTGTGGTTTCACACGAGTTCCCTTTGGCTTGCTGTGAAGCTGGGGAACTGACTGCCTTCCCTCAGGGGCTCCTAGAAGTGCCCAGCATGGTCAATTTTCAGTTTGTACTCAAATTTGAGGTGAGGGGAATAATCCAGGGGTAGCAAAGCCGAACAAGATGTTCAGAGATGGCAAATGTGAGTTCCTCTTCTCCCCTCACAATCCTTTTGTTATTGGAACACAATAAACTACTCAGCCCAAGGAAGCAAAATGATCAAGGAGAGCCCCAGCGGTGGTGCCACAGGTCATGGCCACCCTGCAAACTGCTGGTCACAGTCAAGAGCACTCTCACAGGAGCACAGGAGTCCTCATGGCTCTGTCTGGGAATAAAATCTGCCTGAGAGCAAGCAGAGTGTGACCTGCCTTGTGCCTGGGGCCATGCTCCCACGGCTCATTTTCTTCCTGAAGTGATCCCTGTCATTATCCAAGCTGTCCCTTCCACTTGGTCCTTGGATGGGAGCAAGCAAAGCCTCGTCTCAGCTCCTCCACTGAGGGATGTCCAGCCCTGCTTTGGCTGAGGTGATTTTTGGGAGCTCCCAGGGAAAATGTGAGCCTGTCATTTTCCCCGAGGCTCTGACAAGTCCAGTTCCTCCCACAGCTTTCTGAGGTCACTCTACAGTAAACGAGCTGTAATTGCTGGGAAGGAATCAGAGCCACAGGGGCTTGCAGGGGAATTTCAAATGAGCTGATATTTCTGTGGTGCCCCTGAGGTGCAGCTGAGGAGCTTTTCCAGCTTTAGCCACCTGTGTGGCTGCAGTAACAGCCCACACATCATCACTGCTGATGGGAGCTGAGGGTTGGGAAGAGCAGCAACAGGAGGGAATCGGAGTGCAGAGTCCAAAATATGAATATTGGTGGCCCTGGCTGTAAAATTACCCTGCCCTAGCTGGCACTGGTCCTGCATGCCAGGTTTGGCACTTGGGTTCATAGAATTTTAACTGTGTTATGTGTGCCCAAAAGGTGCCAGCAAGCAGAAGTCTTGCTCAGGTTCCAGCTCAGAAGTAAAGCAAAGAGCTTCCACATTAAACCTGGGAAATGCAGCTGAGCCCATGGACAGCAGGGGCTTCATGCCTCACTGTCAGAAAGGAGTTTATTTAATTTTTTAGACACTACAAAAATCCTCTTGCATTGGAGATTTCCCTGTTTAGTACCTACAGTTCTGAAGAAGCTGTGATGGTGACCAAAAAATAATTTTGTTTCGTTATGCTTTTCTTCCGTGGCTCCATTAGTCCGGAATGCCAAATTCAGCTTAAAATTCAATTTTATGTAATCACCTCTCTCCATCAGTACACCAGAGAAAACCAGCTCATAAGCTGTGCTGTCCTGAGGCTCAGCTGAGGCTCCAGCCCCATCCATCTCCTCGTGAGTGTGACCTCAGGAGAAATGAGAGAGCCGAGAAGAGAGGAGGCTGCCACATGTCACAGGGACATTTTAAAACCATCATTTTGCAAGCTGCTCATCTGACATTAACTTCTGTCAGCATTTGGATTTTAATAGGACAGGGCTAGCTCTTTGAAAGGTGCCCAGGGCTGACAGGGATGGTTTGGGAGACACTGACAGGGCAGAGGGAGTTCTCCCAGCTCAGGCTGCGAGCCTGGGCATCACTCACCAGCCTCCCCCTCTCTCTCCTCCCTTTGGCACAGGTGCAAACCCTCCTGGAGGAGATGTTAGAGAAGCTCCCGGACGAGTTCAACATGGCAGAGCTGCTGGCCAGGCTGGAGGAGAGGACTCCCTATGCTGTGGTTGCCCTGCAGGAGTGCGAGCGCATGAACGCGCTCACGGCCGAGATGCGGCGCTCGCTGGCCGAGCTGGAGCTGGGCCTGAAGGTACTCATGGCCTGAGGGGCTCCCTGGGACTGCAAAAGGGAATAAATGGGGGTTTGGCAAAGGCCTGCCATAGGAATACCTTGGGCAGGGCAAAGTCTTGCAGAGGCTGCACCCAGGATGGGGGATTGATGCCTGGAGAGGCTCCTGGAGCAGAGGCTGGACAGAGCTAAAGGAATAAAGTGGGGATTTATTTAAGAAAACCTTCAAAAGATGCACCTTGGGCAGTGCAAGAGCCCAGGCAGGGCTGCACCCAAGGTGGGCCCAGGATGGACTCAGAGTCAGGAGTTTTCACCCTTTGATGAGTTCTGCTCCATTTCCACGCTGGGGTTCAGTGCCCAATCCCAGCTCCAGGGGATGCAGTCCCACCCTCCCAGGTTGCTCTCCTCCATTCCCTGCTGTTTGCACTTTTTGGGGCTGAGGCTGCAGCGGTGTCCTTGGTTCTGGGGCTGGAAAAGGATTGTTCTGTGTGCCTGAGCTGGGAGGAGACCTTGCTGACACTTTCTGTGCAGTTCAGAGTTATTGACCAGTGCACTGCAGAGCCTGGGAAATAGGAAAGGTAAAACTGAAGGCATCACAATGGTCACGAGTTTTTTTATACAGATATAAGTTTGGTCTATTTGCATATCAGGGGTTAATTCTCCAATTACAGCTTCATGTAATGAAGTCATATTACCCCAGTTTTCTCCCTCCAATTCACTTTTGTTTGTACTTTTCAGGGCCTGTGGTGTGTCCTTGGATCTCAGGCCCAGAAGAATTGTTCTGTCTGACCAAAATGTGAAGGCAGTTATCTACACTCTATATGGAGTTTAGAGTTATACACCAGTACACTCTAGGATTTGATAAATATACAAGCTAAAATCTTAAGGCATCAGTAGGAGAGCTGGAAAATCCTGCAAGGTGCTGCTCAGGGAATAAAAGGGGTCACAGGGAAGAATTTTCTGCTGGCTGCAAAGCCAGCCTGGCTCCACAGGGCTCACAGGTGGATTTGCAGTGGCACAGTGTCCAAGGGCACACACAGCACTGCTTGGCTTTTGGGAACAGGGGATGAGCACTTCTGGCCACCCCAGATTGTGCCACAGCAACAGCAGGTCACTCACAAACTGAGACATGGCCTACTTAAAGGTGAGCCAAAAATCACACCTTTGCATAAAATGTCCATGAGCAGGAGGAGCTTGGAACAAAATATCTCAGAGGCACAGGCTGAGCTGAAATCAAAGACTGATTTTGTGTGAAGACCCAAATGTCCAGAACTGTAAGAGGAAAAGGCTGAAATCTCAGGAGTTTTGGAAGAGATACAATTCCCCTGCTGGGTGTGAGCCACCTGCTAGAGTGTCCCCATCCATGGGGCTCCACTGCAGCTGATCCCCACCCTGGTGTGGAACCAGACTCTGCCCCAGGCAGGGATCCCATGGATCAGCTCTGCCCCAGGCAGGGATCCCATGGATCAGCTCTGCCCCACCCCAGGCAGGGATCCCATGGATCAGCTCTGCCCCAGGCAGGGGTCCCATGGATCAGCTCTGCCCCACCCCAGGCAGGGATCCCATGGATCAGCTCTGCCCCAAGCAGGGATCCCATGGATCAGCTCTGCCCCAAGCAGGGATCCCATGGATCAGCTCTGCCCCACTCCAGGCAGGGATCCCATGGATCAGCTCTGCCCCAAGCAGGGATCCCATGGATCAGCCCATCCCTGTCTCTCCTCAGGACAGGGATCCAAGGGATCAGCTCATCCCTGTCTCTGCCCCAAGCAGGGATCCCATGGATCAGCCCATCCCTGTCTCTGCCCCAGACAGGGATGCCATGGATCAGCCCATCCCTGTCTCTCCCCAGGACAGGGGTCTCTGTGTCCCCCTGGCTGCTGCCCTTTCCACACCCATTGGGATGCAGATTTCAGGTTCTGCAGGGTGTGAGGTAGGGCTGTGATTGATGCTGCATCCACTGTAGGAGAAGTCACCTCCTGCATTCCCCCCAGGCACTCAGTGGGACAAAATAGAAAAGGCTCCTCTGCCCCTTTGGGATGAGCCAGCAGGGATGAGGCTGCACTGCCAGGGAGTGAGGAGCTGCCTGGCACTCCTGGTGCTCTCTGACAGCCCTTCCCCTCCACCCTGTCACCCCCAGGGACCCCTCCCCACAGCCAGCTGCTGTCCTTCCCTTGGCAAGGCACGTGTGCAGCACAGCAATGCAGCCTGGAGCGGGCAGGACAAAGCCTCAGCACTGCCCTGTCTCCCTCTCATGCCACAGCGGGGTCCTGGGGCATCTCCTGGCCATCAGTCAGTGGGCATCCCCTGCTCCATCAGTTCCAGGGTGGCAGGCTGTGATCCTGTGATAGATGAGCAATGCATTGATTGACTCTCACAATTAATGGACAAATATCATGTCTATAGGTTAAGAAGAGTTTTATGGATTTGTGGTTATGTTGTACCCCCTCACGTGGTTATCAAGGGACAGCTGGAGCTGGGACATCAGGGAGGGCTGGCTTGTCACTGTGGAACACCTGACCTGCAATCAGGGTTTGAGGAGGGGATTCCACCACTGGACAGCAAAGAAGGGGTTGATGGACAGAACTTTGGGAGGGGTTAAAGAGTTAAAAAGGAAAAACTTCCATTGTGAGGGGGCTGAGCACATGGCGGGGAAAATCTTTCGCTCCCAGCACCGTAACCTTTTTTCTTTATTCAGTCTCCTGTTGTATTTTTGATAAGGTTTACTAAACCCTCCTAAATGATGACAGGTGAGGAGCAATTTCTCACAACCCCATCTCACAGGGATGCTCAGCCCCCTCAGCTGATGTGCACAGTGTGTCTGAAGGGCCTGGGCTGGGACCCAGCCTGTTCATAGCAGAGCTGAGGGTGGGCAATGAGAGCCTGCCCTGAGATGGAATAACATTTCAAACCTCTCCCAGGGGCAGCTTGGAAAAGAAACCTTCAGCTGCCCAGCCTGCACGAGGAGGGGCAGGCTTGGCTGGGGGTTTGGGCACCAAGCTGCTCCCAAATCCCAGCGGCAGCCTGGAGCAGCAGCTGCAGATGTGGGTGCTGGTGCTTGTTAGAGCAGAGATATCCTGGACACAGGTGGTGGGTCAGTGTGTGCAGACCATTTTGGAAGAAGCTGATATTTATGTAGTCAATTATCATAAACAGATTTCTCTTATTTTCTAGCATAAGGCGGTGGAATTGGAAATTCCATTTCCTGAGACAGGTAAACAGAAGTGATTTAATGGTTCAATCCCAGAGCCCCAAACAAGATATAATTGTGACTTGGACAAGGTGTGGCAATTAGATTTCATGTGGGGAGGAATGTGCTGTTTAATATTGGTGGGGGAATGAGGGGATGCAGAGAGTGCAAACAAACCACAAACAAAATTAACCAGGGGAATGTGTAACACAGGCTGCAAACCTCTCCCCAAACCCTGCCCAGATCATGGCAGGGAAGGAGATGGGGACTGCAGAAAAGGCTCCTCAGAGGGCAGCAGCAGCCCCTGAGCTGGGGCTCAGAGACACCCTGGGGCTGGGACTGGAGGAGAGCAGCAGAGCAGAGCAGCATTTGGCATTTCTGGTGTTTGGCAAATCTGGTGTTTGCTGCAGAGACATATCTGCAGGCTCTGGAGGCCATCAGTGGCGATTCCAAGAACCATGGAGTCCTTAGGGCTGGAGAAGCCCTTTGAGATCCCCAAGCCCAACCATCCCCCCAGCAGCAGCACCACGCTCACCCCTAAACCACAGCCTCAGGTGCCACGTCCAGATGGGTTTTTGGGCACTTCCAGGGCACTTGGGCTCAGCTGGTGCTGGGGGTTCAGTCCCTGGTCTAAGAGTTGCACGTGATGATCCTTGAGGGCCCCTTCCAGCTGGGAATATTCTATCAGAATGTTCTGTCAGCCTGGGGCTGGTGGCTGCACCACAGCCTGTGCCAGTGCTTCACAGCCCACTGCCTGAAGAAAGCTCTCCTGATATCCAAATCAGGTCTCCCCTGGCACCAGTTCTTGTGTCTGCAGCCAAAGGTCTCGTGTGGGTCCCTGCAGAGCTGAATTAGAGCTTGTGCATGACCCAAAACCCTGCTCAGCATCCCTCACATCACCTCCCACCCCTGGGGGACCACAGAGCAGCCACAGGGGGCTGATGACTCTTCCTGGTGCTGCCCTCACTTGGCTCTGGGCCTTACACTGAAGAAATCCTGCTTTAATTGCCCTTCCTGACAATTAAAGAGCTGTCAAGGCTCGTTCCTCTCTGGGGCTGGGGGCCTGCACTGACAGCGCTCAGAGGAGGAGAGTTTACAAGCCAGGCCCCACAGAGCTCAGCAGAGAATAAATAAAGCCCAGAGAAAACAAGGCTTATTGTTTTTAACTGACTGAAGGATCTGCCAAAAGAAGGCGATTCGGAAATGTCACGCCTAATTTGAATTTTTGAATAATTCATCGTGTCGTCCTAGCGGAAAGTGATTGTTTGGTCCAAAAATAGGAGACATCCCATTAGGAGGAAGAGAAATTGCAATAGACTGGTAGCCATCAGAAATAACTGGCATGTTGCATTTCAAAGCCCTTTGTTCTGGCTGGCTTGGGTGGAACCAGAGGCTGGGCTGAAGCACTTGCATGTTAATGTTGTACCAGCCTCATCTTTTGCAAGCAGATCCTCTGCTTTGCAATTTGGGTGAAGGATGAGCCTCCAAAATGAGGATAATATATATTGTAAAATAACAAAGAATCAAATTTTGATAGGCAAGCTGAGTATCAAGTGAAAATAACCTGAACTGAGGAAACAGTTTGTGTCTGTAGTGTGCTCATCTTGAGGGAATGGCTGCAGGCTGATTAGGATTTCCTTCAAGGGTGTCTTTAAATGAAAATTACTCCCAGCATTTGGGAAAAAAAAAAAAAAAATTAAAGATTAACTTGAATAATTTCTGATGCACTTTAGTATTCAGCATCTGAAATGCAAATTTATGCATAATTGTGTTTGGACAACTCTATGAGATTGCTGCTGTAGATGCTTTGAACCCTCACAGGAGACTCAAAGCATGCTTGAGTGCGCAGGCTTTAAAAATTGCTTTTCTCAAGCCTTGCTGAGAATTACATTTGCTAATTCATTTGTTTCCTGAAAGTAAAACTAGACATGATATATGATCGAGGGGGGCTCTCTTTAAATCAATTTGGCTGCCTGCACACATTCTGCCATATTCTCACTCATGTCAAAGCACTTCCAGGAGCACAGAGCGCTCCTGTTCCAGTGTCCTGCTGTGCCCAGTGCAGGATTCTTGTTCTCCCTGCATGGTCCTGCCGTGGCTTCAGCCCAGCCCATGCATGGTTCCTCTTTGTGCCCAGTTTCTCCTGAGGATGGAGATGGTGATGGAGATTTCAGGAGGTTGTTCCTCATATTTTAGTGGTAATTGCAAGTGCTGCTTCTTCCAGCTCTTCATTTCACCTCATTTGCTGTTGTAGCTTCGGAACCCATCTCAAAGCCTTTGTACTCAGGATTGTCTCTATCCATGTGCCAGCCCCAGGGTGTCTCTGAACCCCAGCTCAGGGGCTGCTGCTGCCCTCTGAGGAGCCTTTTCTGCATTTTCTGCAGTCCCCATCTCCTTCCCTGCCATGATCTGGGCAGGGTTTGGGGAGAGGTTTGCAGCCTGTGTTACACATTCCCCTGGTTAATTTTGTTTGTTGTTTGTTTGCACTCTCTGCATCCCCTCATTCCCCCACCAATATTAAACATTCCTCCCCACATGAAATCTGATTGCCACCCCTTGTCCAAGTCACAATTCTGTGGCTGGATTTGGTGACATTAAAGGTCTTTCTCAGCTGTCAGTGTGTCCCACAGGGCACGATCAGCGCAGGAACAAACTGCAGAGATCTTGAACTGCTGGGCTCTGCCAAGCATTGCTAAACAACTGTGGGGGCTGCTTTAAGAAGATTTCAACTTTTTTCTAAAGCTTCATGGATTTTTGTGGCCCCAGCAAAGGGCACCTCTGCTGACCTCACTGCTGGAGGCACTGAAGTCCTGTGAAAGAACAGTTGGAATCTTTTAATGTGAATAGACTGACCCAATTCCCTCCCCCTTGTTCTCAGCAATGGCTCCACTGATTTCAGTTAATCTTTCCAAAAAACACTTAGCCCGAGGCAAAGAGAAATTGTAAATGAGATAAACTTTGGCAAAATGATAAGGGAACAAAAGGAAGTGTTTATAATTGAGAGCAGGGATGGACATTATTATTTATAATTTTGGGTCCCCAAAATTCTGGGGGTGTTGTACCCCTCCAGCTGAGCACAGAGCTGCAGAGATTGAACTGTGGAGACCATTCCATACCAGGGAAGCTGAGCTGGCATTTGCAGGTTTTCTCTTTTTATTCTGCTTGGTTTGAGTGAGGCAGAATCCCAGAGGAGTTGGTCAGGACACTGCTCCAGCCCCATCCCGAGCAGGGACAGGCAGAGCAGCTTGTTTGGACCAGGCCCTGGTGAGTTTTGAGCATTTCCAAGGATGGAGACTCTCCAGCCTCTGTGGACAACCTGTTCCAGTGTTCAGCCACCCTCACGTTGTCTTTCAGTGGAATGTCCTGGAACTCAGCTCTTCTGGCAGAACTGATACAGGTTTCTAAAAGCTTTGAAACTAATTAATTGCTGCACAAAGGAAAAGTCAAACCTCTCTCTTTATCTCACTTGGCTGAATCATATCTTTGTTGTGCTCCTTCCTTGCTGTGGAAGGAGCTGTGATTACATTTGCAGACAACACGTGGAGTCAGAGAAAATCTTGCACTGCAAAGCAGAAAATGAGGGGAGGAGTGGAGGAAGTGGAGGAGAGGAGGGGGACAGGACTCAACATAACAAATATTTGGACAGCTTTAGAGTAGATCATCAGAAACTCCAGTGTCCTGCCCTGGCAGTGAGTGAGAACAGCTTTACACCCCCGGAAATCTGTGAGTCCATGAGAGAAAACAGAAATAACACCAGGACAACCGAGGACACCCCTGCTGCTGTCACTGTCACACTTTTGTTCCTCCCAGTAGTATTTTTACAGCAGGATGCAGGAATATTCAATAGAAAGTGCACAGGAAACCCCCAAACTCATGAAGTCACCCAGAGTAGGTGGCCAGCAGTGTCTGTGTGGGATTTTGTGCTCTTCCTCATGCCCTGGCCCAGCTCTGCTTCCAAGCAGGCTCTGCTGGGCAGTGTCAGTGCTGACTGTGCCCTTTGTGGTGTTTGTGAGGGTCCCCAGGACGAGCTGAGAGATGAGAAACTGACTCCAAGTTCTCAGAAGGCTGATATGTTATATTATATTATATTATATTATATTATATTATATTATATTATATTATATTATATTATATTATATTATATTATATTATATTATATTATATATCATAGTATATCATAGTATATCATAGTATATCATAGTATATCATAGTATATCATATCATATTATAGTATGTTATACTAAAACTATACTAAAGAAAGAGAAAGAATGCATCAGAAGGTTTAACAAGAAAAAATAATAAAAACCTGTGACTCCCCAGAGCCTCAGCACAGCTGGACCATGATTGGTCATTACATTCAAACAATTCACATGGAACCAATCAAACATTCATCTGTTGGTAACCAATGTCCAAGCCACATTCCAAAGGCAGCAAAACACGGGAGCAGCAATCAGATAATTATTGTTTTTATTCCTCTCTGAGGCTTCTCAGCTTCCCAGGAGAAGAAATCCTGGGCAAAGAGGATTTTACAGAAGATATCATGGTGCCACCCTTTCTTCCCCAGGGGGAACTGACCATGACCAGCGAGATGGAGACCTTGCAGAGCTCCCTCTTCTTTGGCACGGTGCCGGAGTCCTGGGTGAGGAGATCCTACCCTTCCATGGCCAGCCTTGGCTCGTGGTTTGCTGACCTGCTGGCCCGCAGCAGCGAGCTGGAAGCCTGGACCAGGGACTTCTCCTTGCCCTCCACGCTGTGGCTCGGGGGGTTCTTCAACCCCCAGGCCCTCCTGACGGCCATCATGCAGAGCACAGCCCGCAAGAACAGGTGGCCCCTGGACAGGATGGCGCTGCAGTGCGACGTGACCAAGAAGAGCAGAGAGGATTTTGCCAGTGCTCCTCGTGAGGGGGCCTATGTGCATGGGCTGTTCATGGAGGGAGCACGCTGGGATGCTCAGGTGAGCTCTGCAGGGCTCTGGCAGCTGAGGGAGAAGCCCTGTGTAGGAGCATCGGGGTAGCATGGTTGGGATGGACAGAGATGAGAGATCTCTGAAGCCAGGTCATGGAACTTTGGTTTATTGGAAAGGGTCAAGGGCAGGGCTCTGCTGGGAGCTGCCAGCACAGCTCAGAGCAGGCCTGAGAGAAGAGAGGGGGAGAGAGGGTGAGAGGGTAAGAGAGTAAAGGGGATAAGAGAGTAAAAGGGCAGGAGCATAGAAGGGTAATAGAGCAAAAGGTGTAAGAGAGCGAGGTTCCCGTTACAATACCATAAACCTTCTTCTGTGTTGAATATTCTGATTCTCACTGACCAATCTGTACAAGATACAAATCCTATAGCATTTCCATACAGCCTATAGGAATCATTACATTACCATACTTGTTACATTTTAAACCCTAAAAACTCCTCTTTGGGCCCCTTCTGCCAAGTTGTAGGGTCTGCTCTGACCCTTGGGCCTGTCTGCAAGCAGAGGGTGTTGTTCCATCAAAAGGGGATCACCTTCAGCTGGCCATGCCATTGTTTTCCAGTTGTTCAGTAACTGAGGGATCTCAAAGCTTGCTTTCATTTCAATCTCACTTATAGTTTCCATATTCTCCAAATCTTTTGCCAGGCAATCATATTGATAAGGCTTTCCTGTTTCATCTTCCCCAACAGCCCTGAAACTCTTATCCAACACTCTCCACTTATTTGTCATGAATCATTTCCCTGTCTACAGTGGTTTTCCATGAAGGATAGGAAATTAGGGAAAGCCCTCCCTGATGGAGGCCATTTCATCACATCTCCTTGGGCAGTTCAAAGCTCCAGGCTGGTTTTTTGCTATGGAAAGGGCCTGAATTGGGTCTGGGAAGCCACAGGCAGCCAGGAACGTTGGCGAGGGCTCTGCTGGGAGATGGCAGTGAGGATCTCAGAGGGTCAGCTCAGATCTCTGCTCCTGGGGTCTGGGCTCTGCTCACAGAGACAATCACAGAGCCCTGAGCAGCTCCCAGCTCTGCCCCCACAGCTCCCTGGCTCTTCCCTTCTCCTCACACAACCCTTGGGAGATCACAGCCCCTGGCACAGGGAGCACTGGATTTCTGTTGCCCTAAAAACCTGACAGAAATCAGCTGGACACACCAGAACAGAGAGAGCTATTAAAAATTCCCAGTCCTTTATATCAAATACTCCATTTAAGAACATTCCAGTGCCTGCTGTTATGTTTTCTTTTCCACTATGACCAGAAAATGAGTTCTGGCTGGGTTTTACCAGCTGGAAGTGGAGAGTGAGAGGTTTTGGAGGTGCAAAGCCAGAAATATTTGGGAAATACTTGGCTTCTCCCCTCTACCTCCCTCCAATAACTGGTCTGGGTGATTGCATCCAGCAATGGGATTTGTCTTCAGAGACCATCCCAACACCAGTAAATGTGGTTTTCTGATTAAATTTTCCTTGTGATTGAAAGATACTGAGCAATTATGTTCATGGAGCCATTCATAATCTCTGGGTATCATGCTTCAATTTATTTCAGAAAGGAAAAGGATATTTTTATGGGTTGCTGCTCCCACTGAAATATCATTTCTACCTAGTGGAACTATTCATTTTACCTATAATCCAGTGAGTACCAGTGTGCATTAATGGATGCAGGACTTTTAAAACAGGTGCACAGCTCTTTTGGGTTGTGTACTCCTTCCAAATTAATCCTCTGATAAAAATGGCAGACCACATTTAGAAGAATTCCTCTGGGGAGCACCTCCACTTTTAAAAGAATATTTCACATTTAGGTTGTGCCTCCAAAAAAGGAAAGTGTTCTGCTAAAAACACTCCAAAAAATGTTCTGCAAAAAAATGTGTTCTGCTACTCACATTTTTCTATTTATTTAAACATTTATGTTTGCCCTTGGGTGTCTTAAATTTATAAAACATTCATTACAAAACAGCAGGCAGCTATTAGATGAAATGAAACTAAGCAGATTATTTTGGGTGCAAATGATCTCTTGCTGCAGCCCTGTTGAAGTCACTGGGACTCAGTGACAGTCAGAAGGATGCTGTGGCTGGGGACACTTGGGGACCTTTCATCTCAAGCTGCTGGCTGATTCTTGTCTTTCCTTCTCTCTGCAATAGAGAGTTTGTTGCCAAGAGTGTGCCCTGCCCTCCCCAAGGGGTTGGAGCGTGGTGGGACAAGGGCAGGGGTGGGTTTTACACCATGTGTGCTCCACGCAGCTTTGGCAGCTGTGCACAGAACAGCCCCTGCCATGGAACCACAGGATCCCAGGCTGGCTTGGGCTGGAAGGGACCTTAAAAATCAGCTCATTCCACCCCACCATGGGCAGGGACACCTTTCTCTGTCCCAGGCTGCTCCAAGCCCCGTCCAACCTGGCCTTGGACATCTCCAGGCATGGGGCAGCCACAGGGCAGGGCCTCACCACCCTCACTGGGAAGAGTTTTTTTATTCCCCTTGTCCAGATGAAGCCACTGACCCCATCACTCAGGGACCACCTTGGAGTGCTCCTTGCAGGCTCCAGATCCCCTTCCCTGCTGGCTCCTTGTCCCTTTCCCTGCTGGCTCCTTGTCCCTTTCCCTACTGCTCCTTGTCCCCTTTCCCTGCTGGCTCCATGTCCCCTTTCCCTGCTGGCTCCATGTCCCCTTTCCCTGCTGGCTCCATGTCCCCTTTCTCTGCTGGTTCCATGTCCCCTTTCCCTGCTGGCTCCTTGTCCCCTCCCCTGCTGGCTCCTTGTCCCTTTCCCTGCTGGCTCCTTGTCCCCTTTCCCTGCTGGCTCCTTGTCCCCTTTCCCTTCTGGCTCCTTGTCCCCTTTCCCTGCTGGCTCCATGTCCCCTTCCCTGCTGGCTCCTTGTCCCCTTTCCCTGCTGACCCCAGAAGGGCTGTGGTGTGAGGAATCTGTGCTGGGACCCTGCCTTGGTTTGGAAAGACAGGTGTGTGCTAAGGAAGGCAGGAGCCTCCCCTAAAATGGAAAATGTAAACCCCCTCCCTCTGAATTATTATAAATTTGAAATTAAGGGGCTCTCAGGCAAAAATATGGGAGCAGGAATAACAGTTCTTTATTTGGGAAGAAAATAAAAATAAAAAAAACAATGCAGTAAATCAAAATAACACTGATAGAGTCAGAATAGGACCTGATACTTTGTGGGTCAGGGTGTTGGCAGCAGCCCCATTGGAATTGTGGCTGCAGCCCTCCTGGAGTGTCTGGGGTGGTTCTGGTGGAGTGGAGATCCTGGAGAAGGGTGGAGTTTTCCTCTGAAGATCCAGTGGAAGAGGCAGCTGCTGCTGCTCTGGGAATACAGTGGGCAAAGGCTGCTCTGCTGTCCTAGAATCTCAGATCGTATCCAGGTAGGGATGCTTGAAATCTCAGATCATATCCAGGTAGGAATGTTTGAAACCTCAGATCATATCCAAGTAGGAATGCTTGAAATCTCAGATCATATCCAGGTAGGAATGTTTGAAATCTCAGATTATATCCGGGTAGGAATTCTTGGCTCCTCCCCCTGGGCGGAGCATCTCCCAATGGGATGATGGCATTTTATCAGCCATGCAGGGCCACTCACTGGCTATGAGCAGAAGATAATTAATAATTAATGGCCCATTAACAGGAGAGATCTCCTGGAGGGAGGATTGGTTGTGGAAAAGACAAGGAAAACTGCCCAGTGAGCAGCAGATAACTGCCCCACCCCACTCGCAGTTTCCTGCTGGGAATCTGGGAGAAGCAGAAGTGAGGGATCCTTTAGGAGCTGAGGCTGAGCTCTCCAGGCACAGAATGGTGGCTCTGCACCACAAGGGCTGTGCTGTTCGTCAGGAAGAGCTGCTTTCAGAGCAGAATTAATTTCTGATGATGAGAGCGATAAAAAATGCAAATGAGAATCAGCCCAGACATAACAAAATGATATCTTACATAGAGGTACCTCAGGAAGATTTCAGCTCTTGTTAACCCAGAAACAGGTAGAATATCTCTTGGAAATTTCACTTAAAGTATTCTCAGCAGTAAAAAAAAAAAAAAGAGAAAGACTTGATTAAAATCGAGTCTCAGGAATGAAAGGTGAGTAAGAAGAGTGCATAATAATGTTACATAAATAGCTACTTTGCAAGGTATTATACGAATTATTTAATGTTTGTTCAGCACGTTGGAAATATAAAATCCTAAATGAGAGTTGGATTTTTCATAGCTGAGCATAACAGATGGCATTAGTACAATTAAATCGAGGTGTGTGGCAAGAGGGATGATTTTTCTTTGCTCGTTATAGAACTAAATAAACTGCTGGAGAGGCTGAATCTCACCCCACAGCTCTGATCCGAGAGCATTTGGAATAATGATGATATGTGAAGCTCAGCTGCAGTGAGAGGCAGTTTCTTTAGTGCTGAAAAGTTTCGTTTCCATTTCCCTGTTTATTTTCATTTGGTCTCTCTAGCCTCCATTAGGCAGTTTTCCCTGGAAATGGATTGATGTGCAGGGTATTTTATTGTCAAGAAGAGAGAGAGAAAATGTCAGAGAGACCCAAATTAGAGAAACAAACTTGATTTCTTGCCCTGGCAGGGTTCTCTCCTGTGTTGGGTAGCCTGCTGGGCAGGGCATTGCTTGGAAGAGAATAATGGGATTTGATATTTATTGGTGATATTCCCTCAGAAAAGTCATTTTGAATTCTCTTGGTTGCATCATGAGAGTGGGAGCAAGCCTGTGGTGGCTTTTGGGGCTGTTCTCCATCCCAGTGGTTCAGGTGTCCACCCTCTCTCCCACCACAAGCAGCACCTCCCACAAGGTGATTCTGCTCTGGAATCCTCTGAGAAGGAGATGCATGAGAATCATCCCAGGATCACTGAGCTTGGGAAAGATCCCCCAGCCCATCCAGGCCAAGCTGTGCCCAATCCCCACCTTGTCCCCAGCCCCAAGCACTGACGGCCGCATCCAGGTGTTCCTGGGACACCTCCAGGGATGGGCACTCCAAACCTCCCTGGGCAGTGTTTAATCACCCTTTCAGCTAAAAAATTCCTCCTGATGTCCACCCTGAGCCTGCCCTGGCACAGCTTGAGGCCTTTTCCTCTTGTCCTGTCCTTGTTCCCTGGCAACAGGACAAGAGGAAATGGCCTCAAGCCACACCTCAGTAGAAACCAGGACAAGAGAAGTGAAAGTTTGTTCAGAATATGGCTGGACAGGGCCAGGGACACTGTTCCCACACAAATCCAGGTTGCATGTGAGGGTTTGAGCATGTGGTGGGAGTGCAAGCAGCTGGAGCCTTGAGTTGATCTACATTAGGGAGGGTCATGGTGAGACAGGGAGCTCTTGGATCCAAACCTCCTTCCTCAAAGAGGCTCATGCAGCCCCTTGACCCTGGAGAAGCTGTTTGCACCTCCTCAGCAGGAGCAGCTTGGATAAAAATCATGGGCTCGGGTCCATCAGCTGGTGGACACCTTGGGGATGTGACCTTTGTCTCCTTCTCTCTGCAGGCCGGGACCATCACGGAGGCCAGGCTCAAGGAGCTCACCCCAGCCATGCCTGTGGTGTTCATCAGGGCCATTCCTGACGACAAGCAGGACACCAGGGGCTTGTACCCGTGTCCTCTGTACAAAACACGCCAGAGAGGCCCGACCTACGTGTGGACTTTTAACCTGAAAACCAAGGAGAACCCGTCCAAGTGGGTGCTCGCTGGGGTGGCCTTGCTGCTGCAGGTCTGAGGCACCAGCACAGGCCCTGGCCTGCAAAGCTCTCACAGTGTCACAGCATTTCAACAGTTCAGTGCTGGGATTAACCCAACTTCCATCTCTCTGATGGACTCCCAGGTTATCTCTGTGTCCTGGGGATGTGACCCCAACAGGGCCTGTGAGGAGGGGACAGAGGTGCAGGGGGACACGGCCCTGGTTCATGGCTGCTGTACATCAATATCCTGTAATTCCTGCACTGCTGCACTCTCGGGTTTGGTGTTGCTGAAATGGCTCCCAAGGTATTACAAAGTCTTTTTTCCCAGCCCCATAACAGAAGAAGTAGTCAAGATTGGTTGGTTCTGCTTTTCAAGGTTGTTTATTTTCTCTGATCTATTCTATTCTTTCTCTGACCTGCTGAGATCTGTCCAGCAGGTTGGGTTGTGGCACAGTCCCTGCCCTTGGGGTGGTGTTGGCTTTTTATACTAAGAACTCTGTGTACTTTATTTACAATAATTTTCCAATACCCATCACCTATGTTAGACAGTCTGTCTCTACCCTAAACCAATCCTGAAGTGTCACCATCACAGCAGAAGATGGAGGACAAGAAGAAGAAGAGGAAAGACTGGATATGCCCAGATTCCTCCATCTTGCCTCTTGAACCCCCATTCTAAACCCCGAAATTCTACTTTTTCACCCTGTGACAAATTCACTATCATTCTACTCAAACTCTTGTGGCTTGTAAATCCTCACACAAAGCTGGGAATTGTTTCCATGGGCTAAAATCAAACCCACAGGTGTTTCTGACTCTGTGCCAAGGTCTCTGAGCCCCTTGCCAGGGTCTTGAGCCAGAGTAATGTCCTGGGTTCTGACACTGCACTGCAAGATCCCAGCCCAGAGCCTGATACACCACACCCAGAGAGTGCTAAACTTAAATCTGGTTTTTATTTCTCTTCATGATCCAAAGCAGCTTTAAAATCATCCATCAGTAAAATCAGCAGCCTTCTCCAAAACACTTAAATAGTCCAGTGGCTTGTGAAGTTCTCCAGAATTTATTCCTTTCCCTCCATGAGTGTTTCTTTGTGGTGTGTGTCATGTTGGAAGCTGGGAGGTGAGCAAATGTTGTGGTTATCATCTGTGTGTTGCTAACACTCCTGTAAATCTTAGAAACATTGGAAATGCTGTTAATATCCAGTGTGCTCAATGGAATCAATAGTGAAAGCACAGCACAGGGATGATTTAAGTGAATATGTGGTGATGATAGATACTAATAAAAGTAATTGTTCCTGGAATGGTCTCTGGAAGCTGCAGGTTTACAGACAGTGAGGAGATCACAGGGGCCAGGTGGGAGGAACACACCTGGCACACACCTGGCACACACCTGTGTGGGTCACTGGGCTTTAATCCCAGCTGGAATGGGAGAGCAGTGAGGAGTGGGGTGTCCCTGGTGCAGAGGGCACAGAGGGTGGCTGGGTGGGCACTGTGGCAGTGACAGAGCATCACTGAGTACACAGAGCTGGGAATGGCACCTGGGAAAGGGCTGGTTCCTGGGAAAATGGGGTTTTTCTGGGGAAATGGGGCTTTTCCTAGGAAAGCTCTCTGTGCTTGGAGGCTCACACAGGCTCTGGGGGACATTTGCTGTCCCTTGTCACAATAGAGATGGACAAGACACTTGTTTCTTCATGCAGAATAGCCAAACCTTTATTCACATAACCCATATCTTTAATATTGTTCATCTTTTTTGTGCTGGTGAATGTTTTGCCTGTTAAACAAAGTTTTTTTCCCATAAATTTCCACCATAGCTGTGTTTATGGGCCATATCAACTTATGGGGTGCTGCCTTGTTTGCCTGTGCTCTCTTTCTGCTTGGTAAAAACATCTTCTTGTTTGAGGTGGGTTTATCCTTTGCTCTAAGCCATAAAAACCCTTCTAACTCACACACCCTTTGCCTCCTTGGTTATCCAGTGAGACTGGCTCAGCAATTCTTTTCTTCTATATCAAAAGTTGCTTCCATCTCTATTCCTTCTTCAGGCTCTACATTAAAAAATCTTTCTGCTAAGCATCCACATCTGTGAGACTTTCTTGTCAAACTTTCATCCTTCCCAACAACCCCCAAAGTCAAGGAGCACCTCAACAAACACCACTCATCTGGAGGGGTCTCCACTTGGCAGCCCTGGCCCTGATTGGGCTCAGGAGCTGGGGAAGGGGGAGAATCACCAGCCAGTGCTGCTCCAGTGTTCACAGGGGGCATTGAAGCTGAAACCTGACAGAAATCCAGGAGGCTGCAGTGCTGCTGTCCCTCCCCAAGCTCTGTCCTGCTCCTGCCTTGCAGCATCTGGAGGCACCATTCACTCGTGGCTTTGCCTCTCAAAGTGCCTTTCCCTCAGCCTGGCAGGTTTCACACTTTTACCCCGTGGGAGGGAGGGAGCTGGGGGTGTGGGGGGCTTGGCTGATGCTGGGGTTCCACCAGGACAGCATTTCTGTGGGCACACTTTGGTTGCTCAGAGCCCCATCTCAGACTGAGTGGTTTTAGGGGTGGCTTTGGCATGGGGCAGAATTTTGCTCAACTCTCTGCCAATCCAGGGGATCAGCTTTGCTCCCTCTGAGTCATCCAGGAGGGTGAAGCCCTCAGGCTTGGCAGGAGATCCACAGGAGCACAGCAGCTCTCTTCCTGCAGGAAGGAGAACATCCAAAATCCTCGTCCTTGCAGCCTGGAGAACAACAAACTTCTGCATGAAGGTAAGGAGGGAAAACTCTCTTATGCTAAGAACTTTGTTTAATTGCTAGGCACTGTCCCCAAGGCACAGCCCCAAAAAATTAATGATGAAGGAGCTGGTAATGGCTTAGCAAAAGCCATCTGCAAATATCTAATGGAAGGGGGAGAGCTGTCTTAAGCTGGGTCCTTTAAATTGCCTCCAACCCATAAATGAGGCACCAGGGTCTGTGGAGTATCCCCTATAATGAGTGCCTGCTAGAAGAGGTCTGTTAGCGGGGGAAAGCTTTGCTATTAAATTAAATCCCTACCAATTTAAATTAAAACCTGCCAATTAGATATGAAATGTAAACTGGTCACTTCCCACCGCTCTGCAAAGTTGGGCACATTAAATTCTCTGTGTTTTTCACCATGCAGGAGGTTGAGATGCATGAACAGAGCACTGCTGAATTAAACACAAAAGAGAAGGAGTGGAAGGGAGTTCATTGTGCTCCAGATAATCCATCATGCTGGGTTAGTCCTTCACTGGGGCCTCTTCAAGGCTGCTCTTACCAGAGGGGACCTTGTGGCTCTGCACAGCTCCTGACAGGGAGAGACAGCCCCAGGCTGGGCCAGGGCAGCTCAGGGTGGGCACAGCAGGAATTTCCCCATGGAAAGGGGGCTCAGGGATTGGAAATGCCCAGGGAGGGTTGGAGTGCCCATCCCTGGAGTGTCCAGGGAATTCCTGGAGGTGGCACTGAGTTCTCTGGGCTGGGGACAAGGTGGGGATCAGGCACAGGGTGGCCTCGATGGTCTTTGAGATCTTTTCCAACCTCAGTGGTGCTGTTTGTCATTCCATGTGCTTCTCAGTGCTCTGGATGTGGGATTTCCTGCCATTCTGGAAATTTTACCATCCTAAACTTCATTCTTCTTCTCTTTTAAAACCTTTCCTCCTTTTCCCAGCACATCAGGGCCTCTCTCTGCTCAGTGTTGCCCTCCAAGATGCCCCTGGACATCCAGGAAAGGAGAAGCTCATTGACTCCCCAGGCACTGCCTGCTCTTTCCAGAGCCACAGCCTGAGCTGTTCCCTTGTCAGCTGAAGAAGAATGGTCTGTTGACAACAAAATGGATCCGATTGTTTTATTATATATATCTCCCTGCATAATTCACCAGTTGGGCAGGCAGGGTAGTGGGGAGATATTTATAGATACTAGAAATGTCACCAGGGTGCTCATTCTTCATCCTTTGAAAATCATCACAGGAAAGAGTTGGCTGCAAAATGCTACAAGAGGACGGTGAATAATTTGATGCTTTAGGGGGTGGAAAAAAATCTTGACAGGCATGAGATTTTTCCAGCCATATCTGCCCAAACCAGGCAATTAAATCCAGCTGGACAGGCTCTTTATTAGGAGTGATTCATTAGTCAAAGGTCAAGGTTTTCTATCCATGAGCTCTTCGAGACAGCTGCCCACTTGGCACTGCCATGTGCACCTTCCTCTGCTCTCCTGGGCTGGGCTGGAGGATCCCAGCACAGGCAGGAGCTGGAGCTGCTGGAGGAGCCCAGGGAGGCTCCAGGATGATGCCAGGGATGGAGCAGCTCTGCTGGGAGGAGAGGCTGGCACAGCTGGCACTGCTCACCTGGGCAGGAGGAGCTTTGGGGTGAGCTCAGTGTGGTGCTGCAGGGCCTGAAGGAGCTGCAGGAAAGATGGAGAGAGAGAATTGCCAAGGGCTGGGGACAGGAGCCAGGGAATGGCTTCAGAGTGACCCAGGGCAGGGCTGGATGGGAGATTGGGAATGAGGAATTGTTCCCTGGCAGGGCTGGATGGGATCTTGGGAATGAGGAATTGTGCCCTGGCAGGGCTGGATGGGATATTGGGAATGAGGAATTGTTCCCTGGCAGGGTGGGCAGGCCCTGGCACAGGGTGCCCAGAGCAGCTGGGGCTGCCCCTGGATCCCTGGCAGTGCCCAAGGCCAGGCTGGACACTGGGGCTGGGAGCACCTGGGACAGTGGGAGGTGACCCTGGGACAGTGGGATGTGTCCCTGCCATGGCAGGGGTGGCGCTGGATGGGCTTTAAGTTCCCTTCCAACCCATCCCATCCTGGGATTCTGTGATTTTTGGGCAGTTTAACAACAGGGAACATGTGGTTGCTCACTTTCACGTAAAAGTGGGGCCCCTGGGGAGTGACTTTGCCATCACTGGAACAAATCCCACCAGGCATTGTCCAGACCCATCCCTGAGGGTTCTCTCTGCCTACCCTGGCCCCACTCCTTCCCCACTGAGCTCCCCACACCTGCTGAAGCCCAGCCCTTCCTTCAGCACAGCCCAGCTGGGCAAACAAGGCTTTAAACAGTCAGGTTGGTGTTTTGGGGTGCCCAGGGGACCCCAGCCTGGC